AACGGCACACCGACGCTTGGGGCATGTGGCAATGCCTCTGCTGAAGCAGCTGGAGAAAGATGGAGCTGTCAAAGGTTTGAAGCTGAACGGACAGCCACCCGATGACAACTGTGAAATCTGTTTGCTTTCAAAGTTCACCCGTTTCCCTTTCCATAGTGTGGCTGGCAGGAGCAAGAAGCTTTTGGAGCTGGTCCACATGGACTTGGTGGGGCCGCTGCCGGTGCAAGGGCACAAGGGGGAGCGGTATTTTCTTACAATTGTGGATGACTGGAGCAGGCTGATGTGGGCGTATCCGCTGAAGCAGAAGGACCACGCCGCCTCCACGATACGGGACGATTGGCTGCCATTCATGGAGAAGCAGGCGGAGTGTGTAGTGAAGCGGATTAGGACAGACCGGGGTGGTGAGTTCCTTGGAGCTGAAATGACGGCTTGGCTCAAGAAGCAGGGCATCCAGAGAGAGCTGACCACGGCTTATACCCCACAGTCCAATGGTGTAGCAGAAAGGCAAACCGGACCATTCTGGAGACAGCTAGGGCGCTGCTCATAGAATCTGGGCTGAGCAATTCTATGTGGCCTCATGCTGTCCGGCACGCCACCGTCGCTAGGAACAGGGTGCTCACCAAGGTTGGGGATGACTCGTGGGTGCCTTTGGAGAGGTGGCTTGGGAGGAAGCCGCCGGTGGACATGCTGAGGGTGTTCGGTTGCATGGCAGTCGCCCACGTCCCCAAGACCTACCGCAGTAAGTTGGGGGCGAGTGCAATCTGGTGTGTGCATTTGGGGCTGGCTGCTGAGAGCAAGGGATGGCTGCTGTGGGAACCATCCAAGGGTGTGTTGTTTGACAGCAGGGATGTGAAATTCATTGAGGGCATGATGTATGGGAGCTGGGAGAAACAGCCGGAGGCAAGGGTGTCCCAGCAGATGGAGCAGATCACCATGCAGCTGGACCTGACTCCTAGTGTGTGGGAGGAGGGAGAGGAGGCAGCTGCTGGAAATGGTGATGGAGAGAAGGTACAGGAGGCATCTGCTGGTGGAGAAAATGGTGTGGAAACTGGCGGCAGCACTAGTGGAGCTGCTGGATCCGAGGGAGGAGAGCAGCAGCAGGGAAAAACTAAGAAGCCGAAGGGTGTCGTTATGAAGGGATGGGAGACACCCGTCTCCAGGCCAGGACGTACCCGTATGGCTACTAAGAAGCTGACTGCAGGAACTGATGCAGCAGAGCAGCAGCTAGGGACCGAAGAGGCATTGCTGATTCTACCTCATGGCTATGACCCGGATGAGGAGGATGAGCCTGCGTACTGTTTTCTTGCCCCTGCACCAGAGGAACCAGCTAGCATGGAGGAGGCATTAGCTGGACCAGATAGGGACAAGTGGCTGGCTTCTAGGGATGCTGAGTACCAGAGTCTGCTGGAGAATAGGACATGGGATCTGGTGGTGCTGCCTGATGGGAAGAAAGCGATACAATGCAAGTGGGTGCTGAGGATCAAGACCGATGACAAGGGGCAGGTCACCATCTACAAGAGTAGGCTGGTGGCGAAGGGGTTTATGCAGAAGGAGAAGCAGGACTTCAACGAGATCTTTGCTCCCACTGCCAAACCCCCTACCCTCCGTGTCTTGTTGGCAGATGCAGCTGTTAGTGGGAAATTCATCATTCAGATAGATATTTCAACGGCATTCCTGAATGGGATTTTAGAGGAGGATGTGTATATGACGCAGCCGCCTGGGTATGAGGATGGTACGGGCAGGGTGTGCAAGCTCAACAAGTCCATCTACGGCTTGAAGCAGGCGCCACGCTGCTGGTACCAGAAGTTGGCAGCTGTTTTAGAGGAGATGGGATTCAGGACCAGCAGCTGTGATGAGAGCCTCTTTCTCAAGGGCGAGGGGGAGAAGCTGGTGCTGTTTCTGGTCTACGTGGACGACATTCTTCTCTTCAGCAGCAGCATGAAGGAGATCCAGAAAGTGCAGCAGCAACTGATGGAGAACTTCAAGTGCAAGAACCTTGGGGAGGTAAAGTACTACCTCGGGATGCACGTGGAGAGGGATCCTGATCACAGGTGGTTGAAGCTGCACCAGGAGAAGTTCATCAAGGAGCTGGGGGAGAAGTATGGGATTGAGAATGAGCGCAAGGTTGCAACTCCCCTGCCAGCAGAATTCAAGCTTGTGAAGGCTGCAGAGGATGAAGGGGTTGAAGCCGAGGAGCAGCAGCAATTTCAGTCCTTGGTGGGCAGCCTCTTGTACGCAGCAGTTCACACGAGGCCCGACATCTCTTTCTCGGTTGGGCAGCTGGCTAGGGTGGTGCAGAATCCATCAGAGGAGCAGATGGATGCAGCTGAGCGTGTGGTGAAGTACCTGAACTCTCACCCAAGCATTGGAGTTCAATACTCCGCATCTGCACAGGTGAAGCAGAAAGGGGTGGAGGTGCTGAAAGAGAAGGGGGAGAGGCTTGGAGAAGGCAAGCTATTTCTCACTTGCTTTACCGATGCTACGTGGGCTTCTGAGAAGGAGGATTCCTCATCTGTGGGAGGATACATCTGCGTAGTTGGGGGAGGACCTGTTAGTTGGAGGTCCAAGAAGCAGACGGAGACGGCACTCTCTTCCGTAGAATCAGAGTACATGGCGATGTTCCATGGGGTGAAGGAGGTGATTTGGCTGAGGAGGCTGTTAGAGGAGATTGGCCAGGAGCAGAAAGTTGCTACGCCGCTGTTTTGTGATAGCAAGGGGGCTCTTGGGATGGCCAGGAACGCTGTGCTTCATGGGCTGAACAAGCACATGCGTATCAAGTGGCACTGGCTGCGTAAGGAGGTGAAGAGGGGGACGGTGAATCCGATCTACATCAAGACTCACCAGCAGCCAGCAGACTTTCTCACCAAGAGGCTTGCGGATGAGCCTCATTGGCGTTGTGTGCGCATGAGTGGAATGAGCATGAACTAGCATGGAATGATGGGGATGCAGCCGGCAGGCTGAGGGGGAGTGTGTTGGGTGCAAATGCACATTGCACGACATCCTGCCGTCTGTTTGTACGAATATGCGTGTGCAATTGCATTTGCGTGTGAATGGGTGTGTTCGTGTGTTTGTTTGCTTTCGCAATTTTCGCTTGAAGCATTTGCAGGTATTCGCGCAATGTGCGCTTCGGCACAACATTGTACGCGCTATGAACAGTGCAAGCAGAAAGGACGAGCTCGCAAAGGAACCCAAGATGGAAGCTTTGCAGTTCGGTTGAGTTGATTGCGCAGATTCAGTTCTATCCAACTCGAAATTGTACTGTTTTGTTTGGTTAACTATAGTGTAGCAGGGAAGGCACTATAGGGGTACAATTTAGGTGAAGGTTGGATGTTGTTTGTCTGTATCTGCATGCTACAAGGCCAGGGGAAACCAGCGGAACCAGCATTTGGCTGGTTGGGCAAAAACAAAACAGGTTCTGCTTTTAGAACCTGAACCTGGTTGTTGTTTTCCCAGGTTGGAAAAACAGAACCAGAGGTTGTTTACCAACCTACCACCTGCTATTTTGTCCAGCCAGGTTGGTTCTGTTGCTTGGAATTATTTGGGATCATCCCTGGTTGTTCCCAGGTTGATTCCTAAGGTCCTTGCTAGCTAGAACTATTTAATCCTTCTCTGTTTGTACCTGAACATAGTCAATTGATTCAAGCGAATTCCTTCCTCGCTGGAATTTCGTTTCTGCGCTATTCGACGGCGGAATGCTACCCGAGTCAACGCTAGTATGCTAGCACTCCAACGCTAGGCAAACGCTGTCCGAGCCATAACTTAGTAATGGCAGAACTTTTCGCGAGGCAACTTGGCTCATTTTAAAGCTCTTGGAGCGAGCTTCGATATAGCGAATTCTCAGCTTAATCCGACCGACGGTCTGCACGGCACGCTGCGCGACGTTCAAGGTACTCTTGCTGTTTTGACTAAGTCCTTCTTGATCCCTCTCTCTACAAACTCGGACCCGAGGATAGGGGCTGGTCTTGTGCCAGGCACCCAGGGACCCTTGGAGGTGACCCCGAGGAGAGGTTTTAAGTTTGATTAAGTCCTAATAGCTTGAGTTTATTAGGCCCTTACACCTACAAAGCAGAGGTGAAAGGCATGGGCAAGGCCATGTTCAAGGGTGCTGATAAGAAGATGGTGGGCCTCAAGAACGTGCTTTGGGTGCCCAACATTGCAGCCAACCTGATTTTTGTGCGGCGTTTCCAAAAGGCTGGCATAAACACGAATTCGAAGGGAGCCAAGACCTACACCGCGAGGATTGGCGACCGGATTCTTTGGGACCTTCACAAGGATAAGGATGTCTACAACGATATGTGGCAGATCCCTGTGGTCCCTATGCCTAAGGAGAGGCAAGTGGTACCCCCCTCTACGTGGCGCTCCAGCTTGCTCAGAGCCGCCGAAGTCAGCTCGGCGCAAAACGGTGAGATATTTGGCATGCGCAAAGACCTCTCCAAGATATCCAGCAGCCTGTCGTACTGGGGGACAACAGCTGACATGGTCAGATACAACGATCCCTCCATAAAGAGAGTGATGTGGTCAAAGGCTCGAGGAAGTCACGCAACTCCATGAGAGCCGCCAAGTCCGTATCAGTCAGTCGGATCTTTGCCCATGCTTCGCGTGTGGCCTTGGGCACGGATCCCTGTTAGGGTAGGGGGAGGGAGTGGGGAAGGTGTGTATCACATAAGCGTGCATTCTTTATAAGCACAAGCCTTGCAAGAGAGGGTTGGGGGAGGGTGCGTCTGGGAGAAAGGGCTTAAATGAGAACCATGGGTTATGTCACGAGCGTGCATTCATTATAAGCACAAGCCTTGCAAGAGAGGGTTGGGGGAGGGTGCGTCTGGGAGAAAGGGCTTGAATGAGAACCATGGGTTAAATCACGAGCGTGCATTTATTATAAGCACAAGCCTTGCAGGAGAGGGTTGGGGGAGGGTGCGTTTGGGAGAAAGGGCTTGAATGAGAACCATGGGTTATGTCACAAGCGTGCATTAATTATAAACACATGCCATAAACTAACATCTTTAGCTTACAGTGGTGTCATCGAAGAACATCGTGAGAGGCATGTGCAGCTCCAGGGCCCTCACCACCATCTCCAGTGTGGATCCCCACCGCGTAGGCGAGTCGATGATCAGTCGCTTGCCCTCGGCGGGTGGGCGTGCAGCCTGCACACCCTGTGCAGCCACCTGTTGGTCCGCTATCTCGGCCGTTGCAAGTCGGCTCTGAATGTTCGAAGAACCGCTCCGAACGCTGCACTGACCACCCGATGTGGCTGGCCACAGCTCGCAGCTTTCAGAGCGGTTCTGCGACCGAATCAACGGTCAGAGCATGTTGCACAGCCAGGTTTAGCACATGGGCTACACACCTGTGGAGCACGTTCATAGATGGTGGAGAGATTGAGGGTTATATCAAACCTGGGAAACAGTATGAACTTGGACAACACGGCGCAACAAGGCACCAAATCCCATGAAACATTCGACGTCACATACCTGAAGTGGTGAGACAGGGAGAGCAGAGGGGGGTCACGACGGCGTGACCCCGGTATGGCGTCAGGGACGCCTGCCAAGAGGCGAATTGCCCGATTGTTGTTCTCGGCATTGTCCGTCGTCACGCCGAAGAACAGATCCCCCAGGCCCCACTGCTCAATGGTCTCCTCCAACTCTTGCGCTATCCTGTCCCCCTTATGGTAACGCTCTAACGACCTGAAGTCAAGAACGGCCTGCTGCAACCTGAAGTCACTGGTAACCCAGTGAGCCGTCACCACCATGAACGCTATGTTGTTCCCACTATTCCATATGTCTGTGGTAAGTGTCATCCTGCCCGACAGTCCGTCTGCTGTCAGCAGCTGTCGCAGCTCCGCCGTAGCAGCATCGGCTGCAGCATGCATGTCACGTGCAATACGGAAACGACTGCCTAGAAGCTGTGCCGCCTCGGGGTTCAGCATCGCGACAAAGTCCTTAAACTGGGAGGGGCAAGAGATGTGTAGTCGCATGAAGGGTGGCATTAGAGAGATAAAGAGTGAGTGTATCACTATGATGCACGGTATCAGGCATGCATCATCGAGTATGAGCGGACACGAGCTCGTACCTGTTGCCGCTCGACCGCCCGGAATGGCAGGTCGAGCCCAGAAAAAGCATCACAAGACCCTCGCGCAGCTGCTGATTCGAGACCCGCGGCGTAGCAAATGACTCCATGGTAGCCTTGCCTGCTCCCCCCCACCGCGGCTGCATCTGTCAACCCACTCGGACCGGCTCCCCCACGTGTGCGGATGCTCCCATGGCCACTTGGTCTGATCAGGGACGGTGGGACCCAAGCCCCCATCCGGAAAAGCAAGGTCTTTGGCTTGTTCGGATCAAGGTAACGACGCACCCAAATCTGCAGGCTAGGGTAATTAAACCGTTTGAGATTCCTGCCCGGTGTGCTTGTGCTGCTGTCACCCCATGCTAGCTCTGTAGGGCACCTAAAGTTGTGACACTTCTTATTTATCAATGGCCCGAACATGCCGCGCACCAAACCCGCCTCCTTACTCTTCAATGCCGTCTCCACTAGCGGGTCCAGCTCTGATTCTGTTGGAACCCTCTTTCTCAGCCTCATAGCTTCGATCGAAGCCCAGGAAATACCAACACGCTGTCCTGGAGCGCGAGGCTTAATAGCGGCGGGTGTAGGAACGGAAGGCGCAACACCTGTATAGTTGACGACATGCTGTACGATGACGCCAAGGATGATGCATGTCTTTTTGTTAGTCTAGGTGTTGTACATTTTGTTACACTTGTGCTAGGACTATTCCCAGCAACTGCGCCATGCAACCCCACACAAGTCGGGCTTCTTCCCGGTGAGCAGCTGGTACGGCATTGTCCCCGACGGCAGCGACAACCTCTCAAGGCAGTTGCGGACCCAGACGGCCTGTCGCAGGGTGAGGTGCCTGTTCGGTGCAAATGCACATTGCACGACATCCTGCCGTCTGTTTGTACGAGTATGCGTGTGCAAATGCATTTGCGTGTGAATGGAATATTCGTGTGTTTGTTTGCTTTCGCAATTTTTGCTTGATGCATTTGCAGGTACTCGCGCAATGTGCGCTTCGGCACAACATTGTACGCGCTATGAACAGTGCAAGCAGAAAGGACGAGCCCGCAAAGGAACCCAAGATGGAAGCTTTGCGGTTCGGTTAAATTGATTGCGCAGATCCAGTTCTATCCAACTCGAAATTGTACTGTTTTGTTTGGTTGACTATAGTGTAGCAGGGCAGGCACTATAGGGGTACAATTTGGGTGAAGGTTGGATGTTGTTTGTCTGTATCTGCATGCTACAGGGCCAGGGGAAACCAGCGGAACCAACATTTGGCTGGTTGGGCAAAGACAAAACAGGTTCTGTTTTTAGAACCTGAACCTGGTTGTTGTTTTCCCAGGTTGGAAAAACAGAACCAGAGGTTGTTTACCAACCTACCACCTGCTATTTTGTCCAGCCAGGTTGATTCTGTTGCTTGGAATTATTTGGGATCATCCCTGGTTGTTCCCAGGTTGATTCCCAAGGTCCTTGCTAGCTAGAACTGTAGATTCATTCTCTGTTTGTACCTGAATATAGTCAATTGATTCAAGCGAATTCCTTCCTCGCTGGAGTTTCGTTTCTGCGCTATTCGATGGCGGAATGCTACCCGAGTCAACGCTAGTATGCTAGCACTCCAACGCTAGGCAAACGCTGTCCGAGCCAGAACTTTGTAATGGCAGAACTTTTCGCGAGGCAACTTGGCTTATTTTAAAGCTCTTGGAGCGAGCTTCGATATAGCGTATTCTCAGCTTAATCCGATCATCGGTCTGCACGGCACGCTGCGCGACGTTCAAGGTACTCTTGTTATTTTGGCTAAGTCATTCTTAACTCCTCTCTCTACAAACTCGGACCCGAGGATAGGGGCTGGTCTTGTACCAGGCACCCAGGGACCCTTGGAGGTGACCCCGAGGAGAGGTTTTAAGTTTGATTAAGTCTCAATAGCTTGAGTTTATTAGGCCCTTACACCAACAAGCTGGTATCAGAGCTGCGTTATAGTGATCCTCGTTATAGGTAGCTATGGCGGGCAACACGTCGGCGGGAGCTGGTGAATCTTCAGCCCAAGATCGTAGCGGCAGCCAAGATTCTGGTGTTTCGGCGCCAAGGGGAGCGCGAACCAACCAGAGCTCGCTGATCAAGGAGGTGCTGAAGAATTTCACCGTCGAGAAGTTCAATGGTGAGGGCTATGATGATTGGGCCTGGAAAATGCAGCTTTACTTCCGTCAGATTGGATTGTTGAAACTAATGATTGGGGAAGAGCCTAGACCGAGTGACCCCGCGCTGCAGGAAGATTGGGACGAGCGCGCATCGGCTGGCTACTACTTGATGTCGCAGAGTTTGGAGCTGAACCAGCGTCACCACGTCATGCACCTGCTGCCGGAGGTTGATTGCGGTCCAATTGCGTGGACCGTGCTCAAGGAGCTGCACGCTCCTACCTCCGTCGCCGCGACGCTCATGATGGAGAGGGAGCTGTCCGCGTTGCGATTGAGCGAGGGAGAGCCAGTGCAACCAGTTCTGGACAAGATGCGCGACCTCTACGCGAAATTGGCGACCGCGGGAATCACCTACCCGGAGCAGACCAAGTGCCTGAAGATGCTCTCGCTGCTGCCGGAATCGTGGCTTCAATTCACGAGCGGATTGAGCCTGCCGCAGAACCAGAGCTCGTGGACGCTCGAGTGGGTGCGGACGAGGATTTCCGTCGCCGCCAACTGAGGGGTGGAGACGACGGCAGCAGCGGCTACGGGATGCAAGGGAACCGACGTGGCAGAGGACGCGGCTTCGGTGGTGCTGGGCACGGTGCAAAGAAGGACGACGACTCCAACGACCAACAAGGAGGTACCGGTTGGGGTCGCGGTGCGAAATCTGGACGTGGGGGCAAGTCGGGTGCTGGTGGCAAAATGAAAGGAAGTTGCTGGTATTGTGAGAAGGAAGGGCATCCCTGGTTTTTGTGCTATAAGAAACCCGATGGATGGACCCCCCAGAATCGTCAACAGGATGGCGGCGCGCGAAGGAACCAGAAAAACGGCGCGAACATGGTCGCTGATTCGTCCGACAACAACCCGAAGAGCAACGCTGGTGCGGAGAAGAAGAAGGAGCGCACCGCGGGCCAGTTCTTCCATATTGGAGAGCAGGGGGAGCAAGGAGACGCCTCTGCCAAGGTTGGAGCAGAGCTGCACCCCCTGGACTATTGGGTGTTGGACACGGGCGCTGCTTGGACGATGACGCCACGCAAGGACCTGCTGGACGACGTACGCGCTGCACCGATTAACGAGGTGTGCTCCGCCTCTGGACACGCGCTGAAGGTGGCTGGTGCGGGACGAGCTGCGTTTAAGGGAGCGGATGGCAAGCCGGTGGTGCTGCACGACGTTCTCCTCGTTCCCGACCTCAAGGCCAACCTCATCTCCCTCCGTAAGCTTGCCAAGGCTGGGGTGAGCACTAGCACGGATGGGGCTCGCACGTACAAGGGGCAGCTGGGCAATCGGGTGCTTTGGGATCTGCACGAGAGCAAGGACGTGTACAGATCCATGTGGCAGCTGCCGGCGTTGGCGTGGCACGGTGGGGGGCAGGCTAGAGAGGGGTCTGCATCCCAGGGGGAGTGCAATGCCGTTGGAGGGGTTGGCGTGAAAGTGTCGGCCAGATCTGGGGAGACGGATTGGGCAACGGCACACCGACGCTTGGGGCATGTGGCAATGCCCTTATTGAAGCAGCTGGAGAAGGATGGAGCCGTCAAGGGTTTGAAGCTGAACGGACAGCCACCCGATGACAACTGTGAAATCTGTTTGTTTTCAAAGTTCACCCGTTTCCCTTTCCATAGTGTGGCTGGCAGGAGCAAGAAGCCTTTGGAGCTGGTCCACATGGACTTGGTGGGGCCGCTGCCGGTGCAAGGGCACAAGGGGGAGCGGTATTTTCTTACAATTGTGGATGACTGGAGCAGGCTGATGTGGGCGTATCCGCTGAAGCAGAAGGACTACGCTTGTTATTTTTGCTAAGTCGTTCTTGACCCCTCTCTCTACAAACTCGGATCCGAGGATAGGGGCTGGTCTTGTACCAGGCATCCAGGGACCCTTGGAGGTGACCCCGAGGAGAGGTTTAAGTCTTAACAGCGTGAGTTTATTAGGCCCTACACCAACAAGCTGGTATCAGAGCTGCGTTATAGTGATCCTCGTTATAGGTAGCTATGGCGGGCAATACCTCGGCGGGAGCTGGTGAATCTTCAGCCCAAGATCGTAGCGACAGCCAAGATTCTAGTGTTTCGGTGCCTAGGGGAGCGCGAACCAACCAGGGCTCGCTGATCAAGAATGTGTTGAAGAATTTCACCGTCGAGAAGTTCAATGGTGAGGGTTATGATGATTGGGCCTGGAAAATGCAACTTTACTTCCGTCAGATTTTATTGATGAAACTAATGATTGGGGACAAGCCTAGACCGAGTGACCCCACGCTGCAGGAAGATTGGGATGAGCGCGCCTCGGCTGGCTACTACTTGATGTCGCAGAGTTTGGAGCTAAACCAGCGTCACCACGTCATGCACCTGCTGCCGGAGGTTGATTGCGGTCCGAAGGCGTGGACCGTGCTGAAGGAGCTGCACGCTCCTACCTCCGTCGCCGCGACGCTCATGATGGAGAGGGAGCTGTCCGCATTGCGCCTGAGTGAGGGAGAGCCGGTGCAACCTGTTTTGGACAAGATGCGCGACCTCGACGCGGAGTTGGCAACCGCGGGAATCACCTATCCGGGGCAGACCAAGTGCTTGAAGATGCTGTCGCTGCTGCCAGAATCATGGCTACAATTCACGAGCGGATTGATCCTGCCGCAGAACCAGAGCTCTGGGACGCTCGAGTGGGTGCCGATGAGGATTGTGGAGGAGGACTTCCGTCGCCGCCAACTGAGGGGTGGAGACGACGGCAGCAGTGGCTATGGGATGCAAGGGAGCCGACGTGGCAGAGGACGTGGCTTCGGTGGTGCTGGACGAGGTGCACGGAAGGACGGCGACTCCTACGACCAACAACGAGGTATCGGTTTGGGCCGCGGTGCGAAATCTGGACATGGGGGCAAGTCAGGTGCTGGTGGCAAAATGAAAGGGAGTTGCTGGTATTGTGAGAAGGAAGGGCATCGCTGGCTTTTGTGCTATAAGAAACCCGATGGATGGACCCCCCAGAATCGTCACCAGGATGGTGGCGCGCGAAGGAACCAGAAAAACGGCGCAAGCATGGTCGCTGATTCGTCCGACAACAACCTGAAGGGCAACGGCGGTGCGGAGAAGAAGAAGGAGCACACCGCGGGCC